CTGGCAAAAAATCCATACCCCCAAATTTGCCTGGATACTGGCTTTGAAAAAAGATTCTGTTACGCCACTGTAAAAGTTTCTAGCATAAAGAGTGTTTCGGTGATAGCTTTAGGTGGTAAAGGTCAGAAAGGTTCTCTGCAGTGTTTTTTGTATAACGAGGCTTTGTACTAGTGAACGGTGTTGGTTGAATGAATGAGGCTAGCAAGTGCAATAGCATTTTTCCCAAACACCGGCTAGTTTTTTTCCAAGTAGGCAAAAACTGCTGGAACTTGTTTCCCATAGTACCTCCGTCCAGTTTTTGTCGCTCATATTTGCCATCTCGTTAATCTGCAAACGTAAAGAAACGCAGTTCAGTAAATGTTATTCAGTACGAGAGTATGTATAAAATGTTTCAGCTCTCAAAGCGGTTAGACTTCAACGGTCAATTACCGTTTGACGCTGTTCTTTCCTATTTTTCAAGCTAACTTTTGAGGAATAAAAATCAGCAGCTTTCAACTTACGTTTTGTTGAGCCTTCATTTTGTTGAGCGCTACCCATTCATGCGCTTCGCTGCCCTCAAAGCCATGCTATAGTCATCCTCTTCGTCCTCATTGTCCTTTAGGCAATAGAAACAGGTTCCTAGCTGAACGTAACACTCGAAGCGTTCCTCAAATGGTTTCAAGTGATCCAGTTCTTGCTTTTTCTTTTGTCCTTCCTTCCTCTTGTCCCCCATGGAAATAATTTCATTGTAGTGGGAAAAAGAACCTGTTGCAGAGGATAAGCTTGAGATTGCTGAAGAAAATGATTCTGGGAACGAAGATAGAATGGAAACAGAAAGAAAGAGAAATGCTACAGTATCTATAATAACATTGAAGTTAATAACATTAGTAACATTAACAATAACATTAATAACATTAATAACATTGAAGTTGTTAGGCGAACAATTACTGGGTACCGCCAATGCATATTGGCTGTAGTGATAGTGAAAAATCGTAAGATTCAGTTCCTGTACAGCAGCAGCGATTCTAATAAATTTTAAGTAGTGAATTACTGTTTTGTTGGTCTTGAATCAAATCTCACTATACATTCTCTTGTACTGAAAGTTTTCAAGTGTTTTTTTTTCTCAAATTTGCAATAATGGGGATATCGGTGGGGGCTAGAAAGATAATGGTAGAAGCGTTTCAACATGTGTAATCGATCTGCCACGTCATAGCTTCCGCTTCCGGTTATCTGCTTCCTAAACCGCATTTTTGAGCTTGGTTAAGGACGCGGACATGCTATTTTGGTTTTTCGACAATTTTTTTTTGGTTCACGGTAAGACTGCTAGACGCAAGCACATCTAACCACCAGCGTAACCAGCTGCTGCAGCTCGTTAAAGATCTGATGCATTGCTTAATGGATATAGCATTGCTTTCAAAGTTTAAGTGGAAATTCTACATACAGAAAGGTCCGTTTTGGGCCTTTACATTGAACGACTTTAGTTCTGAAGAAATTGGCGCGTGATATATTACATTTTCTACAAAAAACCAACGTACAAACGAAAAAAGTGTTTCTTTTCAGCGAAATGTGTTCTTATGTGTCAATCTTCGAAGAAAGATTTCTTCAAAAAGTTCCTCTACGAGCCTTTGCCTGTCGAATCTCATCTTGACCATTGCCTCCACGACCATTTCAATGCTGAGATTGTTACGAAGACTATCGAGAACAAACAGGATGCAATCGATGTAGGTTTTTTATTGATTTCTAATGGATACACGACAGATCTAGTGAAAAAGTCACATGCTAGCATGAGAACGACCGTGCTCAAATCTGAACTTGAATGAACTTGAGTCTAAGATTCAAATCGATCGAAATGTGCACGCGTGGCCTAATGGAGAAGGCGCCGGACTCCGGATCCGGAAATGGGGGTTCGAGTCCCTCCGCGTGTTATACGTTTGCAATTCATGAATAATACAGAAAAGCTAAGGTGTTTTTGGTTTTAGTACTTGACATGGACGTTCCTGTATCGTCGTATGACCCAAAATCCGAATTACTACAATTTGCAAGAAATTTCACATCGTCATCTTTCCGATGCACTTTCCGAGCTTGTAGAG